CAGAGAGATGCAGTTGCTGGGAACACAGGCCCCGCCCTACCCCTTCCTGGTGGCCAGAGCTCAGTCTGGCCCTTTGGAGTTGACTTGATGCAAACCCGGTTTCCAGGGAGATGGTGGAGCAAGAAGTGCCAGCTCCACCTCCCAATCCACTTCCCTTTTCCCCAAATCTGTGGGACCTTACTGTTCTCCCACCATGTGACAGCATTGTGTCATAGCAGCCCTTATATACAAACAAGCCAGACTATTTAAATGTCATTGTGAGAGAGATGCTGCCTGTTCTAATTTACATATCTATTCAGACCCTACTCCTTTCTTGATCTTGCCAGAAAGTTTCTCTTCCTCTTCCTCGGCTCTCCATACAGAGCTGGAGAACCATATGCAAAGTTTTATTTCTGTTGTAGTATAAAGATGTGAGTCATCAAGTTCCTACAGAGACAGAGAATTAGAGTGACTATATAACTTATGGCATATGCTCACTCATCATGGCATCACAAATGTCAAATGCTGCTGGCCACTAAATGCTAGATTCTCTCAAAGCCTACACATAAATTCTCCCTACTGCCAAACAATAGAATATTTTTTCATCTTGGAAAGCTAAGGTACCCTTGGTGCTTTTAATCTTCAAAATCGGGTCCCAGTTGAATAAGAAAACAATTCTAAGTGGGCAGGGGAAATGACCAAAAATGATAAAGTGCAACCAGTTCCCACTCATGTGAAATACGGATTAGGTCACAAATAAGATTGTATTCATCACCAAGCCCCACAAGGATGCTATGATTAAGTTAAAGGAGTCCAGAAACTCAAGTTGAGAACTAAGACGGAGCTGGGTTGAAATTTCCAACCCCTCCCTAAAGACTTGGCAACCTGTTCCTAATCACAACTGAAACCAAGTTGAAGGGACATCTGTTTTCTATGTGTTCGGCATTGCAGAGAAGAATGACAGATTAGAGATAAATACTGTTGTGGGTGGGAGGAGGGACCCAGAAAATTAGAATCATCTACCTGCTCACAAACTCCTGTAACTCAATAAATACCATCAGGGAAGAAGAAAGAAGGGAAGAAAGAAAGGGAGGGAGGGAGGAGAAAGGAAAATAAATGGAGGAATTATTCTTTTTCCTGCAAAAAACTGAGACTTCAGTGAGCAAAACACTGCTGCATTTGAGATGAATATTCATCTCAGACATTGGCTTGTCTGCAGGACAGGCGGTGAGCATTCTGCTGGAAGTCTGGTAACAAAGGCTAGGCATTAAACTTACATATTCAGCATAATGTCGAGGTGCCATTTTCTAAACCTTAATGGACTATCGGGATCATTTTATGAGTAGATATTACAGGCTTTCCCTTGCTCCTTTATTCTGTTTTAATGCAAGTTAGAGTAACACATAGCATCTACCTAACTTCTAGTCTGGGTATCCAGAGTTAGTAAGGGAAAGATAAGAGAATGAGATCAGTAGGTAATTAAATTATATCCTTTACACTAGAAACATAAGGTTCTGAAACTTCTCTTTCAAACCCAACTCTGGTTATTATTAACAACAACAGCAGTAAGAGTAGTATCAACAATGAGAGTCACAGTGACAGACCAGTATGGTAGCAGTACTAGTATAATAATGGGAGTAGGCAAAATAATACTGGAGTAATATCAACAGTAAGAGTAATACTATTATTTATACAGTACTTCCTAAGTACTAGACACTATTCAAATGTTTTAAATATAATATTAATTTATTTAATCCTCGTGTCACTCCTCTGAGGTAAGTAAGCTATTATTAGTATTCCTGTTTTAACAGATGCTTTCAACAATATCTCTTTGTTATTTCTGTTGTTATTACCAACTAGAGCTAGCTTTCAAAGAAAATATTTAGAACTAAAAGGAGAGGAAACGCAGCCTGTCCAAGGTCACCCAGCTAGAAGGCAACAGATACAGCCTCCAAACCAAGGCTGTCCAGCCCGAAGTGTGACCTCCTAGCTGTGCTGTACTTACTGCCCCTTTGCTTAGGAAGGCCTTCCAGAAAAGGAATGTGGCTGGAAGGTAGGCCTCTGCCTGCCAGCAGTCAGAGTTAATACTTGAAGTTTGCTGTTTCCTTTAGGAGTCTCCCCAAACCCACATAAAGACAAGCTGCCTGCTCCTACAACTATAAAAAAGTCACTGCAAGTGTTACTGAACTGTTCCCACATGGTCTGTGACCTCCATTAGGGCTTTCACCTTTGCCAGCTAAGGCAGAAGCTGGGAGTGGGGGAGGAGTGAGGTGCAAGCCAGGTTCCCAGGCCACCATTTCCTGCCCAGTAACACAGCCCTCAAATAGCCACGGCTGCAGGCCGAGAAATTCCTCACTAAGGAGTTTTCTCCCAGAGCTTGTTCCTTTGGTTTTCTCACCAACCGGCCAACTCATGACTCGAGGGAGACTCAGGCCCAAGGAGGAGTGACTAGTGGCAAAGTTTGTTTATTAACCTGCTGCGCTCAGGGAACATTTTTCTGAAATGGTGAAGTTCTTGACTACTCAAAAGAAAAAAGAAAGGGCCTGTGGGAAATTTAATCACCAACTGAACAAAAGTGAAAAACAAAGCCCTGCCAATAAGGATGTTGCCGAAGACAATGGGGCCCCTAAAGGAGATGCAATTGTCTCCAGATAACAACCCCCTCGGGAATGCAGCTGACACTAAGTACTGCATTATTGCTATATTAGCCCGGGAATCTCTGTTCACCGGGCCACTGCCGGCCAAACCATCTGCTCCTGCTCCTGGAATCCCCCCCATCTGCAGACACTGCATTTGCATTTCAAGAGGAACCTTGGGGGATCAAGAAGGGAAAGTCTCTATCTCTCCCTGGAGCAAATGCCTTTTTGTGTAGCCTGGGAGGGGAAGCTCTCCTTTCCGTGAAACCGAACTCCTCAATGGAAAGGAGATAGGCCACTTCAATAATGCACGCAGCTCCACGGCCCCCAACCTACAGCCACACACGCCCCATTCCAGTTTTCAGGATTTCACATTCTCCAGTTGTACAGTATCAAGAATAATGCAGAGCTGCCTCTAGGGCCTGAGGGGACTCTACTTTCTTAAGGAACTCCTCCTTTTTCTTAACCCATAGAACAAAGACAAAAGCTGACATTTTGTACTGAATATTTAGCTTGAAATATACCACCACTTTCAAACAGACTGTGATCTTCTGAGCTGAAACAGGCATTTTAGGTCTCGATCTAGGTGGGGGCTAGAGTAGTGGAGACATGTCAAAATTCAGTAGGATGTGTGCCTCAAAGATTTGTGCACCCTCCTGTACGTAGCTTATACCACAACACATTTTTAAAGCAGAGTGTGCCAATGTCACTGACAATCCAGGATATTGGGAATAAACCATTTGCCTACTGATATTGTAAGACTGCTCTGCTCTCATAGTGCCCCCTCGCCACCTTCCACACCCAAGATTTCCCCAGAGAATTTCGAAGTTCAAGAACGTGAAAAATACAGTACTCCAACTCTTAGCTAAGCCAGTGCCTACAATGTCTCCTGTGTGTCCTGTGAGCCCAAGTGTGCAGCACAGAGAGCACCTGTCACACCCCAAGCTATTCCAGCCACCTATCAAAAGTAAAAAGCCAAGGTCTTTTTCTCGTCTGGTCATGGGCCATGGAATGGTGAGGGACAGGGTTGGGCCTTTTAGCAACAGAGCCCCAGATGTATCCTTCTGTTTATTTAACCCCCTTTTTAAATAGAAGCTTCTAAACTCTGCCTAACGCTCCTGCTCGATGGAAACGTGTTAACCCTGTAAGGTGCAGGCCTTTGGCGGGGCGTTCGAGCAGCGTTAAGAGAGCCGTGGCTTAGCAGACCGGCACATTTAAATCTGTACCATGGTGGCCCTGTTACCCCAGCAGCATCTTGAGATCCGCAGTGCCACAGGGAGTGTCACTAAGTGACGGTCTGAGCACTAACTGGCTTCACCATTGCTGGGTCACAACGAAGCTGTACATTTCTTCCTTTAACTACCAGCCAAGGAGAGCTGTCTGCCACTGAGGAGAAGAGGGGGCAAATTTGCCTTGTGCTAAAGCCTCAAGAAAGGCTGCCCAGAGATACAGGCTCATTGCACGGATCACTGGGGGGTCACCTTTACCCTCTTGCGCCCTCCAAGCGTCCGGACATCCCCCCCACCCCGCCGCGTGCGCGCGCACGTACACACACACACACACACACACACACACATCATTTCGGGAGCGCAGGGCTACCAAGCTGCTTCTGCAGATAGACATCGAGAATCAGGATCACCCAGCTAGCGCTTGCTTCCTGGACTGAGCCGAGAGCTCCAGTGATTTCCCTGGCCTGCTACCGAGTCATTTAAGAAGTGAAATATGCCAACCGGGTCGGGTACCCGGCACCTGGGAGCCCGCCCCCTCTGGGCTGGAGTGGGGGCTGTCAATGGCTGGGCAAAGTGTATGCGGCTGGCGCGCTAGAAGGTGGGTCTCGCAGGTTCTCCGGCCGAGTCCAGCCTCACACCTGACCCGGTACTAGGAACACAGCCAAGGGCTCCAGTGGGTATGCGCTTCCACGGAGACACTGCCAACTAAGCTCTGGAAGGGCAGGGTGGGGGGCCAAAAGGTGGGGTAGTATATTCGCCCCGAAATGCGGCGTCCGCAAGGACTCTGGGGGTTCACGCTTCCTGCGCCTTTGCGGCGCTTCTGCTCGAATTGCGCTTCCCGTGGCTGCTCCGGGAAGCGGCGGGAGCCGAGATTTGCGCGGCTGGCGGACAAGAGGGATGGAGGTGCAGGGGACCGCTTCCCGGCCCCTGCACGCACAGCTACACTGCAGTGTCCCGCATTCGCTCCCACTCTCGCCCCAGACTCCAGTGCCAGGGGATGCAGCGCGCCTGTGGCCCTGGAGGACGACCCAAAGCAGCTGGCAAAGGAAAGCGCAGGGGGTGGCGAGGCTGGACTTGTAGTCCGTGAGGTGGGAGATAGGGGGTCGGTGGCCCCGGGGAGCCCCTACCCGGCCGCCCACCAGCCGCGGGCACCTACCTCGATCCACTTCTGCGCCTCGGAGAAGGCGGGCTCGGGGGGCGGCTCAGGCTGCAGTGGCTGAAGAGCTTCCAGACCGAGAGCGGGACAAGCCATTTGCGAAGCCCCGCGTCCACTCGAGCGCTGGGCCGCCTGGATGAGAACCGCCGTCGCTGCTGCAGGAGCGCGCTCCCCGCCCCTTCCCGCCCGCCCTCTTTCCCCCTCCCCTCCACGCCCCTCCCCTGCCGGCGCTGGTCTCCGAGGAGAGCAGCGCTCGCTGCTGGAGGACGCCGCGGCAGCTGTTCCCAGCGCCGCCTGGGCTCGGCCGCGCCTGGAGTTCCCCGCGGGAGCGAGCGTGCAGGCTCCTGGAGCTTCGTCTGAACTCCACCTTCTCTGGCCGCTCCGCCTCCACCGGGGACAGGAGGGGTGGGGTGTCAGCTACCGACTAAAAATAACCAAGAGGGAGGGCTGGGTGTCTGCCTCCCTGCCCACAACCGGACCAAGAGATGGACTCTGCAAGTCCCGGCGCAGGGCTGCACGCGGATGAGCGGGCAAAACGGGCAGCACCTGGGAGATTCGCACGGAGCCGGGCGCACAAATCCCCGGAGAGCCAGCGCTGCTACAACGAGGCAGGAGGTCTCTCGGGCAGTGGCCGTGCTGCACCTGCTGTCCCTCCTACTGCAGAAATGGGGGCAAGAGCTGCCCTCTGACCCGGCACCAGGGAGGGTTCAGTCACCTGATCTTTTTGTAAGAAAGAAGACCCTTATAAGCCTTTTTCTCTCTGGGCAAGCTACCTGTTCCCCAGTCTATTATAATGCATTCGACCCATAAGTATTGTGCAGCGAGATAGTTGCTGAGAACCCAGTGATGAAAAAAGAAAGAAAGAAAAAAAAGAACATCTTGAAGTCCTAGCCTTTAGAATAATTATATTCTAGAGGGAATTAGAAGGGGGTGGGCAGACAATCAACATGTAAAAGAAAAGAAGGTCCAGTAATTGTGGAGAGTGAGGCACACATAACACCCCTGTTTTATGAGCTGCTAATCTATGCCAAATCTTTTATTACAAAATCATAAGCATGTAATTCTGTAACGTAACAGTATCACACTCAAGCACATCATATGCCATTTTAGGTGAAATGTTCAAGTTATTTTCCATCTCATGCAGAACATTCATGTACCCTACCAACCACATTCAATGGTGTTACTTGTGCTGGACCCTGTGTATGAGATAGAAGAGGAGATGAACTATGACCTGGGAAGAGAGAGTGTTGACTAAGTCCATTACCTCTCCACTCTCCACCTGGGAGACCAACTGACCCATGTGTCCAGGTTCCATTAACGGGAGGGAGGCAGGAAGGAGATCAGGAGGTAGAGGAGAGGGAAATGGGTATTTAGGTTGCCCCCCCCCCCCCCCGCAAAAGTCAGGGGATTGGCTGCACTGTTCAGCTCAAGGCTGCTCTGTTTGGGGCCTCTTTGGGTTCCCTGATGGTTCCCTGTCTCCTCTTGTCACACCTCACTTCCCCAGGCCTGGTGGTAGTAAAGGCTTCCCCATCCCATTCTGGTTTCCCCACCCTGCCCACTTCCTCCTAATGGTCCCATAATAAACTCTCCTTAGCTGCCCCTCTTTGAACATGCCTTCTGTTTTTGCATGAAAGCCCAACTGATAATCAAGGAAGATTTTTTTCTGACAAGACAGTGTGATGAGATGACATGAATGGAAGAGAAGTTAGCCATGCAACAATCTGGGAAATATTTCCAGATGGGTACAAAAGCCTTCAGGTAGGAACGAGCTGGGTGGGCATCACGGACCCCACGAGCTGGAGCTTGGGGAAGAAAGAACCAGGTGGGAATGATAGCATGGGAGAGGCAGGCCAGGTCCCAAGAAAGATGGGGGTGGGGAGGGTGTTATGTGAAACCACAGTGAGAATTTATTGCGTGGGCATCCACTAGTGAGCCCAGTGCTGGGTATGTAATAGCTGAATACTGAGCTAACTTAAAGCAAATGGATTCACATTTTAGAATGGCTGCTGGCAAGATGGGTAGGACAGGGCAGAAAGTCCCGTGGGTGCCTCAGCAGCAAAGTCTCTGTTCCTGTTCAGAACTCAAGCTTAGCCTTCATTCACCTCTCCTTTAATGGGGGGTGGGTGGAACTAAAAACAGACCTGAAATTCCACCATTACTGGCCTTGGAGTCAGACAGCCTTCGGTTTATTTACTTTTAAAACACTTATATGGCACTTGCATGGTGCCAGGCACTATTCTAAGTGCATTACAAATAATTGACTAACTCATTCCTTATTCCAGCCCTGTAAGATAGACTGTTATCATCCCTGTGAGGAAACCAGGAAACAGAGGGGTTTCCTGGTGTCACGCAGCTGGTGAGCAGTGGGCCCAGATTCAAGCCCAGACAGCCCGGCGCCAGATCTGCTCTTAACCCCACACCAAGCTGCCTTGCCAGTCTCAGTCCAGACTCTGCCAGTTACAGTTTGTGCCTCAGTTTCCTCATCTCAGATGAGATTGAAGTGGCAACATTTCAGCATTATCATTGTAAGGAGAAAATGGTATTTCTGAATGTGAAAGGACAAAAGCTGGGCCTGGCAAATAGCGAGTGCCCAATCCTTCTGTCCTGCCTTCCAAAAAAGAGGGGACGGAGGAGAAGTTACAAAGAAGGGTAAAGAAGGCAGATGAAGGAAAAGGGCTAATAAAATATAGTCAGAAGATGACATTGTCTTCACGAAAAAACATGGCAGAGTAAATGATCCACAAAATGACTCCAGCACACCAACCTAAGGGGCTACACTAACGTAGCTTCCGCTGCATGCAGTAACTCTGGGAGGGAAGCCCAGTGATCTAAATGATGTACCGGAATCCGTCTGAAAATGAGTATTAGGATCAAATCTACAATATCTCTGAAATAGCTGCTATTGAAATTAGCATTCAAACTAAAACTTTTTTTCTTTCGGTGAAAATACATCTTTTAAGGTTTATAATCGCAAAGTAGCATCTGCTTTTCCTGAACTCTGTAACAAATCCAATAACAAATTCATGTAGGTTACTAAAGACCAAAGGATTTAGAACTGTAAATCTACAGTTGGTCATTCTTACATTTAGCCATTTAATCCATTTTTGTTATTTTTTGTAAAAGCATGAGTTTTGAGATCAAACAGAGCGATAGTCTTGGTCTCCTGAGAAAAGTGGAATTTTAAAGATAGGAGGGTTTAATTAGGGAAGTGACCGTGAGAGAAAATGCAGATGAAGCCAGCGTATGCTAGGAAAGCAGTCAGAACACAATGCAAGTCTGACCTGTAGTGAAGAGAGGGAAGGAAAGTCAAGTAGATGCATGCGGGCTGCCCTTTAGTCTAAGGGAGACTCAGCAAAGCCGTTGGGAAGTTCATGAGCCATCGTCCACTATAGGTGCCCTGGGTCTCAAAAGAAGGAGCCTTAGGATTTCTGCTATATTTGGTAACTGGCTGGGAACCACCAGGAAAGTGAAGCTCAGTGCAAACATGGCAGTGGACTTCGAGGCCCTCGGTCAGTTAAGCTCCCTGATGGGCTCATTTCATGGTTGTTACACTTGAGTTTGAATCCAGCCCTGTCACTCATTACGTGGCACGAGAAAAAATGTTGTTTAACCTCTCTGCATCCCAGTTTAATTGATAAAGCACCTGTTTTTTCCTAAATACCTGGCACTTAGAAATCAGTTGTTATAAATAACCTTGATGACATTGTATATTAAAATATTTATATCTTTTAATGTTAAAATGAGATAAATCAATTGGACAAAAACTTACTTTAAATTTCATTGTATGTAAGACTTTGAAGACTTATGGTTGATGGTAGATAAGTGTACTAAATTACTCATTCTCCAGTGTCTGACTGAAACGTCACATTTCTGGTGACTTCCTTAGCAACCAAGTCAACATAGCAAAGTAAGTATAAGAATCTTTAGGAAGGATTTTTTAATTCAGCAATACTTTGGTTTTTTAAAGCCATTTGAAATGAATATAAGAATGCAAATAACAATTTTAGTTTCCCAGACTATGACAAATTAAATAACTTTCCTGCTACAAAAACTCACGTAAATCCCACACAAAATATGAAAAATATTTTTCACATGCATAGCTGAGTTTAAAAGAAATTAACAGAAATTCCCCAGGAGGCAAATTGGAAAGGAAACATAAAACAAGAGCAGTAAACTCTTGAATCGACCCTTGACTGCCCTATGGAGCAACGTAGTGAACAGTGGGTGCTAGACTCAGACACGCAGAGCTAGGGTTTTAGTACGAGAAGCTGAGGCCCTGGGCCTATGCCACATGGAGAACTGAAACTGAGCTGCCCACCCCCACACACACACATACACACATACACACACTACTCCCACAGAGAAAGAATGAGTCAAAAATATTCCACCATCACTACAGAAGGAGATAATAAGGACAATAAGGAAACTTCATTGTCTTGACCTCAGCACTAGGTTGGTGGGATGCAAGTGAACCTCCCTTGAGAATGTGTAAACAAAAGCCTGATCTTCTTTATAAACAACATACTCATGATTCAGAGGCTCCCATGCTAAGGAATTAACTTAAAATTTGGTCTAGGACCACTTGGGCACTTAGAAGAAATAACTATAAAATCCCTTTGGAAGACATGCCCTCCACTTAAGCCTCACAGGACACCCACAAACAAACTCTGCTGAAGTTGAGCTTATAATCCAATGGTACAAAATACATACAAAAACTATACAACCTAAACAAAATTCAAGAGACACAACAAAGAACCATATAAGGTTCCCCAGAAATTCATTTAACAGAGCTACCAGAGTTTTATAAGTGTTATAAAATAAATTTTAAAGATTAAAGACATTATCAGATAATAAATCAAAACAGAAGAAAATAAAAACATACAATAAAATATATAGCTATGTGAGAGTATCAAGAATAACTAGAAAAGTGTAGCCATGAATTTAAAACTTAAAGAATGGTTTGAAGCACAGTTAGACACAAGTGAAGAGAGAATTTTTGAACTGGAAGACAGATCTTTGAAAATAACATGAAATGAAAAAATGGGAAAATAGGAAAAAATATTAAAGTGGGGTTAAGAGAATATGAATATCCCATAAAACAATTCTTAGGAATTGTAAAAGCAGAGAATAGAGAAGATGAAGAGAGAAAATATTTCCAATGATACTGGCTAGAACTG